GGGAAGCCATGAGTGTGTGCAGAGGGTCCTGCCTCGACCTTATTTGCCCCTCCGCGTGTGGGGACCCCAGGGGGAGGCCGTCACGTGCCTCCCTATTGGAGGCTGAAGGCAGTTTCTCCACAAGGGCTGGATCTGCCTTACAAAGAGCGCTGCTTTCTTTCTTTGAGACCCACAGAGACAGACAGAGGAGGGGGGAGGGGGGAGCATGCTGAAGACAGAAAAAGGAAAGCCTTGAAGAAAGCTCCCGCTCCTCCCCACCCTTTGATCAGAAATACAAAACCAGCAACTTCCACTCGACTTCTGGAAACAAAAGCCGAAAATTCAAGTGCCATGTAATTATAGGCCCGGAGTCCCCAATTATAATCCCCACAGGATCCAAAGAGAAACGGCGAACTCCTTAAAAGCTGGGCTACCTCCTGCTAAGCATCCTCACTGCTGCTCAGATTCATCCACATGTCACAGCTCTACACATCCACGTCCCCGTCTCTTCTCCCCCCACAACCACCCTCATATATTGTTTCTCTAGCAGTCTCCCTGGTAACAATTCAGAAGTGTTTTGCCATTGTCTTCTCCCAGGTCTGATTCTGGAGATGGTTTGGATTTTGTCAGGCTTGCAGAGAGCCCCGCTTCACATCCCTGCATCATTTGGTGGCGGCCATAAATGCCTGCCGTTCAGAATTAGTCTCGGATTCTTTTCACATGATGCTTATTAGCTTGGGTAGCTTTGGGAAAACATTACAAGTATGGAGGATGACCTGTAGGCTGACAGGCTTCTGAAAAATCAAGGAGAACCAGGATTGTTGCGCTCCTAAATCAGCTAAAGATCATCAACTTGCACAGCCAGTGCTACCTTGGTACTTCATGTAACAAACGTATCTAAAGTCCGGAGATATTCAGAGGTAATCTGTCCTTCAAAGGCAATAGCAATAGGAACAGCACTTCGGTTTATGTACTGCCCCACAGTGCTTTCCAGCCCTAAGCGGTTGACAGGGTCAGCAACAGCCCCAACAATGTGGACCCCCTATTTTACTGACCTCAGGAGGACGGAAGGCTGAGTCAACCTGGAGCCGGTCAGGATCAAACTCCTGGCACTGGAATGCAGAGTCAGCCTCCAGTACTGCCTTCTAACCACCACCCCAGCTCAATCTCAGGGAAGTTTGTCCTTGTTGGGTTCTGTTTTCTTAGCAACTGTAACAAAGTCAGAAAAAAAGAAGGAACTATCAACTGGGTTCCGTTTATTCTCAAGGACGCCTCTGAGATTCTTCATCCTTACCCATTTGAGGATAACAACAGTCTATACAGGATGGTGGGCCACAAGGGATATGCGGTTAAAAAGGAAAAAAAAAGAATTGCTTTCAGTATTTCACAGCCCCATAGGGCAGGGGTCGCCAACCTTTTGGACCTCAGGGACCACCAAACTCATAATTTTAAATCCCAGGGACCACTAACCGATTCTGTGGGCGTGGCCTAATTTGTGGGTGTGGCTTGGTGGTCATGTGACTGGCTGGGCATGGCTTGTATGTAAATATTATAAATATTTATATAAATATTGTATTTTTTTATGAAAAATCTATCCCACATTGTTCTGTGGTCTGCGTTATCACATGCCTTCCTGAAATCTAAGTAAACCGTTTTTCCTTCATCCACTAATTTAGCCACTTTGTCGGAGATGGCCAGGTTTCTCTGGTATGATTTGTCTTCAACCAACCCAGGCGTTCTCCTTTTGGGACCTCGTGACAAGCAAATTCAACGAGGAAGCCATATTCACTTAACAACCATGCCACAACAACTGCAGTGATTCACTTAACAGATAAGGAAGGTCATGAAATGGGGCAAAACTCACTTAACAACTGAATTTTTGGTCTCAACTGTGGGTCACATGACGCTGGGACAGTGCAGCAGGCGTAAAATATGAGCGAGTTGCCAAGTGTCTGAATGTTAATCCCACAATCGGGTAGGTTGCAATGTACATGTGAAAATGGTCGAGTCACTTTTTTCAATACCGCCGTAACTTCCAACATCATTACTAGGCCGTTGTAATGCTGTTACAAGTCGAGGATACTATCTTATTTCCCTTTACTTTCAAAATCCTGAATTTCTATTAATGTAAATCTATCTTTTATACCTTATATTGTAATTCTTTGAAAAACCACACAATCACTTCTCAAAGGAAAATTAAATTCTAGCACAGGTGCAAGTACACCTATACCATCTTCTTGCTGCTTTTTGTTGTAACTCCTTCTTTGTAAATATGGGGAGGGAGAGAAGGGGGATGCTTTTTATTGGAACCATTGGAAGCCATTGGAAATAAAATTAAACGTGCATAACCTAGACATTGTGCCCCTCCCCCAACCTTCGTAACTCCGTGGAAATTACAAAAATGTCAACTGCAGTTAACTCATGTAACCACCTGATATAGCCCAGGGGTTGCAGTAAATAATATTAAAGTTGCGTGCCACAAGATGGGTGGCCGTAAAAATATTTTAAATAAATAAATAACAACAATAAATTACTTGCCAGAATTTATATCATTGGGAAAAATAAAATGTGGACTTCTTTTATGTAAAATTATTGGTAATAAAATGCTTTCGGACAGCAAAAATTTTAAATTTTATACATATCTCAAAAATAAAAACTGGTCCTCTTTATGGATTAATATAATACATATAGATCAAATAAAATGACTTTGGACTGATTCTGAGATTTCCCAATCCAAACCTGGCCCTTGTTCCCCTCCCTCGCACCCACAAGATGCTCCGGAATTGGCCAATCAGCTTCAGAGTTTTGATCCAAGCCAGAAAGGATGGTGCTGCCCATCTCACCAACAGGAAGCCAAGTATTCTACCCCACCAAAGCAATGTACAACCTTAGTTGATAGTAGGCCCTGCAATTCCGTCTTCTAAATAGCAAAACAACGATATCTGAATACAATTATTCACAATCAAGTCTGTTGCATAACCCAATATGTTAAAAGTTGGGAAAGATTGAGCATAACATTTCAAAACCAAACTCAGCACCAACGTGGTACCCTGCAAACAGCAATTAATTCATCCTTTAAATTACACCCATTGAAGCAGGTGTGCAAATACCAGTTTCTTTCTTCCCCACTGCAAATTGAAAGGAAGCTTAGCGGCTTTGCTCCCAGAGGCCCCAATTGCATGGAAGAGGCAAAATCTCTCATCAAGATGAATGGTATTTTCTTGGCTGGCTGGTAGGAACCGCCACCTGCACTAGAAGCCACACACAGGCCAAACGGAAAGCTGTAATAAGGGGAGACTGTTTGCAATGCGGTGGGGACTTGAGTCCTCTGAGCCTGGAGGCTTCTTGATCTCGAGGTGGACTAGATGACCTGCAACGTCTCAGCCCAAGAAGTCTGGCCACCTGAAAAGGACGGAGAGATGCTCCCCTCGCCCCAACGCCTCATCCTTGCTCCGCTCAGTTGCCGTCACCCAGCAGCAGCAGTCAAAATGGGGGTGAGGGGCCGGGGAATTCTGGAAGGGGAAGCCGACCACCTGAAAGCTGCTGAGGCTGAGAAGCCCCGCTCGAAGGCCCCCCAACTGCCCTTCCACAGCTCCCTCGGACGGCGGCCACTCACGGCCACTGATCCGGGGCCCGTCGCGCGCCCCTCCCCCGCGGCACGAAGCAGCAGGCAAGGCATCCTTGGGGCCCTTCCCCGCTTCCTTCCTGTCGGCTGGGACCGTCTCGTTCCTCCTCCACGCCAGCAGCGCCGCATCGCCAGGAAGACTTCCGACGCTTCGGGCTCCTCGGAAGGCCGCTCCTTCCACCTGGATCGCCTCCTTCCCTTCCCTTCCCCGAGCCTCGCTTGCCACAGCTCCCGGCGCCCAAACCACTCCGGCCCCCTTCCAGCCGAGCGCGCCGGAGGAAACGACCGGCGAGGCGGCCTCCTCGTCAGCCCTTAGCCGCGCCGCCTCTCCCGGCGAGGGGCGGCCGGCACTGCGGCCGCGGCCGGCCTTGTGCAGGGGGCGTGGCTTCAGCCGGAGGGAGGAGCCGCCCCGAGCGAATCCGGCGCCCTTCCCGAGCAGGAGCCGCGCGCGCAGCCGCAGGAAAGCTCGGCCAGCGTGGAATTGACGGACAGCCGACTCGGCAGAGTGGCAGCCGGCGGCCCAGCGGGCCAATGGCGGCCGGGAAGGCCCTTGTTCGGACGCCGATTGGTCATCCTTACATAGCCCGGCCGTGCTCCACGTGGGGCGAGACGCCGGCCTCTCTCGTGACGTCACGCCGGGAGCCATTGGGGTGGGGCGGGGCGGGGCGGCTCTCGCGTGAGGGAAGCCCCGACTCTCCCGGGGGGGTGGGGCAGGGGGCGCTTTGCACGCTCCTAGGAACCCCGTTGCCTCAGGCGACCCTCCGGCACCGCCACCACCTAGGAGGCAGCGGGGAAGCGGTCGGCGCCTTCTCCGGCCAGCTGCGGGAGGGGAGGATCTCCGACGGCACTGGAAATGCCCCGCGGGGGGAGCGCGGCTGCGTCTCGAGGGCAAGCAGCCCACCCCGCAGGCCCTCCGCCTAGCAGCACTCCGGCTCTGCCCGCCCGGAATAGGACGCCGAGTCCGAGGGAAGCGGGCGAATCCCTGGCTTGGCGCGTCCCGAGAGCCGCTCGGCGCTTCGCTTAACTGGGCGCTCGTCGCGGTTCTCCCTCCCCCGCCCCCTCTCCTTGGACGCCCCGAAATGCCTCGGCTAGGACGGAGGGCGGGGGGCAGGAGGGCCCGGCCGGGAGCCGCGTCGGGCCGCCCCGCGCAACCGCAGCCGCCGGAGGAGGAGGAGGAGGAGGAGGAGCGCCGCCCGCCGGGGGCCCGGGACGCTCCCCGCCCCTCCTGCCCGGCCCAATCAGAGCGGGAGCTCCCCACGTGGGACCCCGGCGCGGTGATTGGCGCAGAGCGGCGGGGACGCCCCTCCCCCGTCGCCTCTTTCTTCCTCCGGCCCCGCCCCCTCCCCCCGCAGCTGGAGCGGAGCCCGACGGCGCGGGGCGACCCGGGAAGGAGCCGGCGCCGCTTCCGCCCTGCCGGGAGCCCAGCGCGGCCAGAGGGGAGCGGGAAGCAGGCGCTCGGTTCCGCGGGGCCCCGCTTTCCCCGTCGAGCCTGGCCGGAGCGGGCGCCTCGGGGCAAGGACCGTGGGAAGCGCGCTCGGGGCCCTGCGCGGCGGAAGCGCTGCCGCGGCCTGGCTGGATTTCCGCGGGGCGGCAGGAGGAGGAGGAGGAGGAGACGCCTCTCTTGGCCCGCCCGGGCTTTGTTCGCCTGCCGTTTCCCGGCTACCTGCGGGAGGGATCGCGGCGCAGCGCTTCGCCCCGACTTGCTCCGCCTCGGGTTCCGGAAGTGCCGGCAGTGCTTGGCTGAGCGGCGCCGGATCGGGGTCCGGCCGGGGAGAAGCCTGGGGGGCTAGGATGCCCGGGAGCGGCGGCGCAGCCATCTCGGCCGCCGCCCGCCCGGGGGAAGCTCGGCCGCCCCCGCCGCTCCACCCGGAGGAGGAGGAGGAAGCGGCGCGCCAGGCTCCCGGGGGCGGCGGGGGGGCCGGCGGACGCTGAGCCGCCCGCGCTCGCCTCTTTTGTCCCGGCTTCAGGAGAGCCTCGTTCCCGTGGCGGCGGGCCATGTATCCGCAGGGGCGGCACCCGGTGAGTGGCGCTGGGCCTGGCCCGGAGAACCTCCCTCGTTTGGGCCGGGGCCGCCCCGCCTCCAAGGTCCAAAGCAGCCCCCGAAACCCCCGTCGGGTCGGCTGGCGGTGCTTTCCCTCCGGTCCCTCCGGCCTCGCAAGCGGTTACAGGCGGGCGGGGACGGGGGGGGGGGAATGAAGCGATTGATTCGCCGCCGCGGCTGACCGAAACGCGCGCGGATCGGTGGGTTCGACTTGGGAATCCAAGGGGTGTCAACCGGCCTCTCCGGTCAGGGAAGGTCCGGCATATCCCGGCCGATGGAGTCGCCTCGGTTGTCCTTTGCTCACTAAGGGCCCCGCGACCTTCCCGAGGAGCCCTTCGCCCCGTCCCGTCCCCCCCCCCCCCCCCCCCCCCCCCCCCCCCC